TTTAGTTACATGCAGACAATTTTGACATGGGGGAATGCTGAATGTAGTATCGACATGGGGAATAGGATCTAGAGTTGGTGTTTGTTCTATTTCTACGGGCGCTGAGGTGGACGCGAGGTTGTTTTGCGGGTCGACAAAGAAGCGATTAAATGTTTCAGCAATGGTCACTTTATCTTTTAAAATCGTACTATTTTCGGTCAAAAATTTGACACTTTCATTTTTTCCAACATCATCATTTGTTAGATTTTTAATCAAGTTCCAAAGTTTACTGGGGTTTTGTTTATTTTCTTGAAATTTATCACTAAAAGTAATTTTTCTTCGCATTTCTTATTGTTTTTGTCACTTTGTTCTTTGCAATGCGGTAGTTTGCCCAATCTTCGTCAGTTTGATATTTCCTTGCTTTGTAATACAGTTTATCGCGTGCCTTTATGTCCTCCCCAATTATATTATTGAACCATTTAGGCTGTGTATTTCGCTTTACCCGCTTTTGTTTTAAGGGAAGATATTCATTTACGACATCATTAAATATTTCATACCATGCATAGACAGTGTCATTTGCGTCATCAAATACAAAAGCACTATCCCACGGTGCATTTTTAAGGGCGGTAATAATTTGTCCTTGTTTAAATGCTTTACGTCGCGATAGTTTATTGTGGAATGCTTACCCTTGTTGTGACACGCACGTTTGTATATCCTGGTTGTCATAATAGGCAAATGATCTGATATTCCAATATTTAAAACTTTGACATTGTTTAGCCGTTCAGCATGGGTGCACCAGATGTGATCGAGACAGGTGCGTGATATGGGGCGTGTAATCACATTCATAAGCTGCGAAAGGTTGAATGACTTTAATACTTTCGTGAATGTATGATTTGCAAATTTCGTTGTGCATAAATAATCAATGTTTATGTCACCCAAAAGTACCACCTCGCGACCTAAAAGAGAGACATTTTCGATGTTTTTCCCGATACTCTTATCACTAGCAGCGTTTGATGAGGGTGGTCTGTAGATTCCCCCGATGAATAGAGGCCGTTTCGATTTGTAGGGACAGGTTTCGAGCCATATTATTTCCACATCTTTTGTTTCGAGATCAATTCGTCGCTCAGCTTGAACTGAGTTTTTAACATATACACATAATCCACCGCCTGACTTTACAGTTCTGTCCTTTCGATAGGCTTTGTAGCCGGGAATGCTGTAAAATGTTTCTGGTATTTTTTCGGTACAGAAGGTCTCCGATAAAATGAGAATGTCCAGACCAAAAAGCTCCTTGCTGGGGCATGTCAATAAGTTGCGAATCTCTTCAAATTTACTGTCCGTGAGATGTTGTATATTCCAATGGCATAATTTGATTCCTTTTCGATCGACTACAGGACCAGGCTGGGATTCAACATCGTTTGACATTTGAATAAGAAGCAACGAGATTGAGGCTTTAGTTAGTAGACGACAGGCAACAATCACACGAGTTGAGTTTGGCGTTAAACTTGCCGAGCCAGAACAAGATCTAGGTTGCCGTGGTAAACGAACAAAACTTGCAATATTTGGTTTAGCGGCTATATTTGAGGAGTAGAATACGTTTCCATTATACACATCGAGTGAATTGCATTTTTTACATCGTGTAAGGTTTTTAAAACAAAGATATAAATACAGCAACATGCAGATCAAATGCAGAGCTCTCTGAGCGACGGCCATCTTACATGCAGGCTTTAGTATACATGCAGGCTTTAGTATACATGCAGGCTTTAGTATACATGCAGGCTTTAGTATACATGCAGGCTTTAGTATACATGCAGGCTTTAGTATACATGCAGGCTTTAGTATACATGCAGGCTTTAGTTACATGCAGACTTTAGTTACATGCAGACTTTAGTTACATGCAGGCTTTAGTTACATGCAGGCTTTAGTATACATGCAGGCTTTAGTATACATGCAGGCTTTAGTATACATGCAGGCTTTAGTATACATGCAGGCTTTAGTATACATGCAGGCTTTAGTATACATGCAGGCTTTAGTTACATGCAGACTTTAGTTACATGCAGGCTTTAGTTACATGCAGGCTTTAGTATACATGCAGGCTTTAGTATACATGCAGGCTTTAGTATACATGCAGGCTTTAGTATACATGCAGGCTTTAGTATACATGCAGGCTTTAGTATACATGCAGGCTTTAGTATACATGCAGGCTTTAGTATACATGCAGGCTTTAGTTACATGCAGGCTTTAGTTACATGCAGGCTTTAGTTACATGCAGACTTTAGTATACATGCAGGCTTTAGTATACATGCAGGCTTTAGTATACATGCAGGCTTTAGTATACATGCAGGCTTTAGTATACATGCAGGCTTTAGTATAGATGCAGGCTTTACCTCTGATCATCTGATGTATCGTGGGTTCGATTCTCGCTATACGGCTGATGTGAAAAGAGTCTGTCAACGCTCTGCCGAAAGTCGCGGGTTTTCTCCGGGCCTTTCCTGAGGATGGCTTTAGGACAAAATACTGACAAAGTTACTATGACAACGGGTTGTTGTCGCATTTCCGTATCAACGATTCCCACATTGTTAGCGTAATAATTTCCATATTTTCTTACATATACAATTCTCACAATTAAATGCACAATGCGTATATATTTGCACTATAGGAATACTTTTGCTTAAAATACGCCGACGATTCGTTATTAAAGACAGAATAAAATGGCGTAAAAATGCACGATTCCCACTATATCAATTTACTATAAGTGGGAATCGTGGACTTTTTAATGTTGGAATTTTCAAGAATAAAATTGAATTAGTTCGAAGTTAATCACATAATCTATTCCTTTGACACGATTATAATAACCTAAGAGATAAAAACCACAAGAATTGTTCGACTTATCAATATTTCCCCCCTAAAATGTGACCGGGAATTGAATGGAATTCGATTATATAAAACAGAATATATAACAACAGAATATATAACAACTTAATTGCGTTTATTCTTGACTTTCAATCAATCCCTTCAGAATTACATGACAATGGCACGGCCGCCATATTTGTGCCAAATTCAAAAGAAGTTTATTAATGAGATTCTTTTGTTGAAAGGGGACCAACATGGCCGTCGCTCACATCATTGCAAGTCAAGAACTATGGGCAGACCAACCAAATCATGGGTAAACATTTATTGACTTTGTCTGTGAATTTAAACTTTTAATTTCGATCAAAGCAGCACATTTAACCAAAACTTGACATCATTAATTGAATATTCTGCTAACTGGCAAGAATACTGATTTACGTATGTTCATTGAATCGATGGACATGTTCACATTGCACATATTTCTTTATGAATTGTAGGTTGTGATGTAAAATGATTATGTACGTAACTTTACGGATTACAATTCTTTCTTATGATCACCTCTTATATTACCTCTCTATTTTTGTACTTAGACAAGGACTGAAGAGAAAAGAAAGAGGAACAACAACAACACGAATTCAGGTATTTGCAACTTCTCTGATTATAGCAATTAAAAGCGCCATAATTAATTTAAGAGAGTAAGACATTTTGTCAATTTATCATGTATGTCCTAATAAACGCGAGAAGATCGCATTTAAACTGATCATAAATAAATAGAGAAATGATAATGATCAAAATATTTGTTTGTGTGATCTTACTCTGAGTGTATATCCACACCAGGCAGGATTGAAAACATGCCTCATGGCCACGGTGGGATTCGAACCTACGACCTTTGGAATACTAGCCCAATGCTCTGCCAACTGAGCTACGCGGTCAGGTCGGTTCATGTATGCGATATTTCGGAACTGAGTCTAGTTCCTTCGATATCAGTGTAATCTAATAATCATGTAATTTGCTGTGTTGGTGTAATGTGCTCTGGTGAATAAGATATACAAACCGACCTGACCGCGTAGCTCAGTTGGCAGAGCATTGGGCTAGTATTCCAAAGGTCGTAGGTTCGAATCCCAACGTGGCCAGGTATATTTTTCAAACCTGCCCGGTGTGGATGTATACTCAGTGTAACATCACATAAACATCTTATTCCAGTGGCGTGCTGGTAGGGGGGGCCGGGGGGCCACGGCCCCCCCAGCTGGCAATTCTTGGGGTTCGCAGAAATGAAAAGGGGGCGCAGATCCTGAGCCGAATTTTGAAAGTGGGTGGGAAAAAACGCATTCGAAAAAATATAGTTACTTCCGCCAAGAAAACGACAAAGTGATATATTAAATTACCGACTATTTTGTCTATTAAGCCGTATTTGCTAATTTGCTACTTCACGGCGCACACGAAATCATTTATATAGGAACATGATCAGTGATCAAACGCAATGTCTCATCACCGAAATATTGGTCAGGTTTGGAAGAGATCACGGGAATTATGCCCCTTTTGCTGGTATTATGCCCTTATATTACGCCCTTTATTATGCTTCACGAGAGCGGCGCAAATTAGATAGTTGAAGTTTTGATAACGTAAAGTTGTAATGAGTAATGTAAGTTATGAAATAATGCTGAAACGCGCCCTTTTGGCAGCCAGGCATGGAAACCTTAAAATGCATATGCGTGGGGTCCGTGTATTATTGTATAAAAGAGCTGTAAGTTGTAAATGTATTCAGATCACTAGATCAGTAGAGAATAGAATTGGGATTA